GGAATGCAAATGTTTTAATTCCATGAGATGCTGTGAGCAGAAGCTATTGCTCAGATGAAAGCAGTTTTCCACAGTCTGGGTCACTGCACTTCTTATTTCTCTTTCTATTCCCCATGCACTTGTTACACTTTGCATGAGACCTCACAGTGATCCACTGTAATTGCCATCATCTTGCATCTGTTCATGACAACAGTGCAATAAAACCCTAAGCTGTTCATTGTAAACAAATAAACATACACTCCCTTTCCTAAGAAGCTTTTAAAAACATCTCGAGAAAGTCAAGTACAGTAGTTCTTTGTCAGCTTTTCTAACCTGCCGCTGTACTGTACTGTACGCTCCTAGGCGTACTCCAGTCCCAAGATTTACCCAAGATTTGCGAAGCCAGGAGCTGCCTCTCTGAGCTGGAGCGGTGGCCCCGGGGGATACGGGGTGCCTGGAACCTGTTACCCATCGCTGTTGCGGTCAGCACCCAACGCTTCTCGGGAGGACAGTTCCCTACTTCTGCGTGACACAGGTGATGGGCAAGATGAAGCTGCTTTGCCTGTCTCCTCGTGCACGCCAGGAGGTGACTTCTAGATTTTACATTCTTCGTATCCTAAAAACGTGCAGATAGCGTCGAGTATGACATCACTGATGTTGAAGCAAAATCAGACAGCGGTTGGACAGTGTTATCGCAAGAAATTTTAATTGCTCAACCTAGCAAAAGACTTTAAACTGCTTTAATGAAAAAAAGAGAGAGCGAAAGCAGAGATTTTCATTTAACAGTTGTATTTTCTTGAATCGAGTAACAATTTTGCTTGAAATTTAACTTGCCTTGAATCCTACCTAGTTTACCCGGGTTAAATCAGCGTCCCTGTGCAGACCAAGCTAACCTGCTAAACCGGGTAGTTGCAATTGCCCTCGTTTTGCCGTGCGGGGCTGCGGGCAGCCTGGGGGCCCTCTGCGGGGCAGGGCCGGGGGCCGGGACCGGCCCCACGCGTGGGGCAGGCGGCCGAGCGGGCTCCCACGGCGGCCGGGGGTGCCCCCCCCCCCCCCCCCCCCCCTCCCCGGGGGGGGGCGGCA